GGGGAGGTGAGGTGAGGCAAAAAAAAAAAAAAAAAGTGGCAGGGGTTAGCAGGGAACTTCCCGAGGTGGCCTCCCGCCCCTCAGTCCCTGAAGCTGCAGCTGGCCTCTGTCTCCCAGCCAGGTCACCAGCTCTCCGCTCACCAGCCTAAGAATCTTCAACATTCCAGTTGGCGAGAAGAAAAAGCGCTTGATGCTGTCCCTGTATCTATGCGGGACTTTGGCCCGGCCCTCAGCACGCTTTTTGGCCGCATTCTTCATCTTCTTAGTCATCGCCAAGTACTGTTCAAGGGGGCGCTGGTGTGCTGTGTAAGTTTTGGTGAGTGAGGAGCGCTCCGAAGGTGCTGGAGGCTCCGGAGCCGGAGGTACTGCTGGAGGCGCCGGGGCTGCATGAGGCACGGACTGTTTGGAAGGTGCTGGCCGCGCTGAAGCTGCGGAGCCCACGGAGAGCTCTGAGCGTACGGAGTGCGCCCGGGCTGAGGGGCGCACAGAGAGCTCTGAGCGTACGGAGTGCGCCGGGGCTGAGGGGCGCACAGAGAGCTCTGAGCGTACGGACCGCGGCGGGCCTGGGGAGCGCACCGAGAGCCCTGAGCGGCTGGGAGGCGCCGGGGCTGAATGCCTCACTGAGCGCACTGACTGTCCGGGTTTCAAGTTCTTTGTAGATGCCCCGCGTTTGGCGTTTTCAGAGGCCATGGTGGGCTTCTGGACCTAGAGTCAGGCTGGCCCTGCGGCTCTGAGCAGCACTGCGGCAGCCGGCTCTCCTCGGGGGAACCAGCGGCGAGCCCTAACGGCTGCTGGCTGTCCGCACCTCGCGCGCACCCCGCGGCCAGGCCGAGCCCTCCAGACATTCTTGTCGAAACCTCCCCACCCCCTGGGCTCCCAGCCTGCCAGGCAGTGAACTCCGGCGGTCATTTAGGGCACGCCTTGTCACATTCTTCCCCGCTCCCCAGTCCCAGGAGCGGTACTCCCTACGCCCCACTGGAGGTCACGGTCAGGGTGAGCAGTGGGCACAGGGTGTCACGCAAATCTCCTCAGCTCCCATACTGAGATCAAAATGAAAACTGCTGACAATATGTAGAAGAATAAAGAAAAATTTTTAATGCTTAGCATCCACTAAAAAGGGATATAAAATTACAAAATAAGTTTTTGCTCATGAGAAGGCTTTTTCTGATAAGGACCACTTGGATTAAACAGAAGCTTCCGGTAAATAAGTGCCCCATCTGCAATACAGCACACTACTGACACGAGTCCAAACACCTGGAAACAAAGACACAGTGTTACTGCAGCCACCAAGTTAAGTGGTCTTCCCCCCACCGCCCTCTCCTGCTAGCAGACTGAGACTGCCCCCCACCCCGCTGTGCTGCACAAATGGAAGAGACCTTAGAGATGGTCTTATTCTCCCAATACCTGCCTAGAGACAAAGGGAGGAGACAACTGAAGTGCGCAGGAAGTGGCTGCGGGCTCTGCAGTATTTGTCTGCCTTTATTGCTTAACTTTGGTCCTGTGAGTTGGATGTATTGTTTTAAGCCCTAATGACCATATTTAGTTATCAATCAACATTTCTATTCCCAACGTTCAATTGTTTGACTTCCCTGTTGCCAAACTCTACTGAAGAAAGGATCAAAGTTAACAACAGCTCAAGATGAAACCATGGGGACAGCAGCTGTGATAAAAGCCTTGGAGAAATACAGTGATAAGATGACCCAGAGCAAACCGTCAAAGGCTGAGCTGCATTCACTGATGAAGTGGGATCGAAACAGAGCCTTAAGTAAAATTTTCTAGGTGATGGGAATACACTAGGGGGGTTCTCTAGATACTCTGATGGCCATTTGGCCTGCTCCACTCAATGGCCAGAAATCTGGCTTCTTGGCTGCAGACAAGGTTCCCACAGTGTGGCCCTATTCATTACCTCCGTTTCTACCTGGAATTTCAAGACACCACCTCCTAGATTCTGACCACACTGCATACCTCCTCCCAATCCTTTCATCACTTAGGCACTCTGCACATTGCTGGCTCTTCCAGCTGGAACTCCTCTCCTTCCCTCCCCTTTTATTCTTGGCAAACTGCAATTCTCTGCGAAAAAGAGGTCATTGCTTCCTTTTTTCTTTCTGTGCTCCGCAGCACTGTCAACATCTCATATACAGCTGTTTGTACTTCTGTCTCCTGTACTAGGCTCTGAGCAACTGGCAGGTAGGACTCACTCGCTAGCCCAGTGCTGTTCAAAAGAAATACAACGTGAGCCACCAATGTGAGTCGCATAATTAACTTAAAAACTTCTAGTAGCCACATTGGAAAAGTTAAAAAAAAAAAAGTGAAATTAATTTTAATGATATGTTTTATTCAACCCAATATATCCACAAATTATCATTTTAACATGTGGTCATATAATAAAAGTTATTAATGAGATATTTTTCTTTTTTTTTGGTTAGTAAAATTCAGTGTGTATTTTACGCTTACAGTGCTGCTCAATTCAGACTAGCCATGCTTCCAGGGCTCAGTAGCCATATGTGACTAGTGGCTACATTTGAGACAGCACAGCTCTAAATTTTACATCAGCACCTGCCAAAGTGCACTTCAGGAATGAATAAATCAATGAATGGGTAAAGAAGTGAATGAAAGTAAATTCTCCAGAGAAACAACAACAACAAAACTAACCTATTGCTGTTGATTCCCACTTGTAACGACCCTGTAGGACAGGGAAGAACTGCCCTACAGGGTTTCTAAGGCTGTAATTTTTAGGGAAGCAGACGGCCACATCTTTCTCCCACGGAGCGGCTGGTGAGTTTGAACTACTGACCTCTTGGTTAGCAGCTGAGTGCTTAACCACTGCACCACCAGGGCTCCTTTTCTCCAGAGTACAGGATAAAATTATCTTTAAAGACAACTGGGGAAACTGCTGTTACAGTGCTACTATTTCATTTCTAGAGTAATTCTGATTCCTCATGAAGTTGCTTAGGGCCTAATAAGGGAGACAGAAAAATCGTGGATTCTGGCCTACATGGTTGTCTGAGAGTGATCATAAGTGGTCCACACTATGAAAGGGCAAGGAAGTAGGAGGGAGATTTATTTAAGAAGAACTTTCTAATTCAATTCTCCAGATCACAACATGGAAAACCCAAAGATTCTGAACCACTGATAAGAAATCTCAAAAGAGTATCAGTCAGAACTATAATGAAATTACTTGACTATTTGCAAAAAATTTTGGCTTGCCTTCCAGAATAAAGTCTGATTAAATTCATCTGCTTCCCTTCAAGCAGGGATCAAAAGAGTCCTTTAGTTACAAGGATTCTACCACCATTCCCTTATCATGAGGACATCTTCTGTTATATTCCATCTGAAGAAGGATCTGAACAAGAAATAACTGACTCAGAACAGTCTGTCTCTCCTTAACAACTGGTATGTATCCATTTATTTAAAGGGGAGAGCTATGAAACTCATCCATCATGTTTTTCTGTGCCTTGACTATCAGGTTCCTCAGAGCTAAGTATTGTAACTAATTGCAGCAGCTTCCCTCAGTCTAGGTTTTCTGATATGATTATTCTCCTTTTTCACTTTTTACTCATTTGAATTATTTTCACCTTCATTCTACTTGGGTCTTTTCTGAGTAGGCTTAAATCCCTTTTTGGAAGTACCAAAGAAACCAAACCTGTTGCTGTAGAGTAGATTTCAACTCATAGAGACCCTATAGGACAGAGTAGAACTGCCCCATAGGATTTCCAGGGAGCAGCTGGTGGATTTGAACTGCCAATCTTTTGGTTAGCAGCCGAGCTCTTTACCACTGTGCCACCAGGGCTCCTTTTGGAATTAAGGGGGGAACAAATAAATAGACCTAGTGATAACAACATTGTCTATAATATTTTTTATGTCTGAAGAGTGTTTATTATGATTCAATATCATTTTCTGGGGGCTAAAATTATTATTCCTGAGCTTCTGGAATGTGAGCTTGTGAACAAGGAAGCCCTACATAAAAAAGTACGTAGGGACCTCTGTATTTGGTTAACTTCAGTTTTAGTATGAAATCATATCCCTTCATGTTAATCAGGGCATGCATTTACACACAAAATAATTCATTAAGCCACAAGGCACTGTATACAGGCCTAGGAGCCTCAATGATGAATATAACACAATTTTCTGTCGTGCATCTATTTTTCACATGAATTTGTATTCTGATCAAACCTGAAAGAGAATCCAGAAAGGTACCCACTTACCCCTCCAAGGACTGTCATTGTTGTGGTTTCTGGTATCAGTGCCAACACAGATACAATTATCATGAATATTGTTGTTACCAATGAGTTGACAATATCCTGAAAACCCAGAACAGAAAGGCCAGCTTTACATGAGGATCACCAAGCAATGCAAAAAAAAAAAAAAAAAAAAGTATCAGCTCCAAAAAGATTTATTTTGAAAGTTCTATTTGATTAAACAGTTTATGTGTGTATGTTTCAGGAAACCAAACTGCCACAGTAAAATGACACCTGTATTGTATTTGGTCTACAATGACACCTAGTGGTTCCCTTTGTCTATGATTTGTTGTTACACCAATCATTTAACTACTTAACAAGCTTAGTTATTTTTTACTTAACATAAATGTAGTTGGAGGGACAACTTACCTGGTTAGGAAAGAAAGTGGGTGATGTTATTATGCAGAAAGTTTAAGGCAAAATGGATACACCGGGAAGCTAGGATGCTCACTTTTAACAAGAGAAAATGTGTAGTAGTCTACACTGCAAATCAAACAACTTTATAAGGCCACTAAGATGCAATTAATAAAACTAATAGTAGTACACACTTAAAAAAAGGAAAAAAAATCCACACAGCTGTTGGCCATGTTGTTGTTGTATGCTGTGGATTCTGACTCATAGCAACTGTATACGACAGGGTAGAACTGCCCTATAGGGTTTCCTAGGATGTAATCTTCATGGGAGCAGATCACCAGGTCTTTTGGTGGCTTGGAACCACCGACCTTCCGGTTAGCAGCTGAGTGTTCAACCATTGCATAGCCAGGGCTCCTTCTGTTGGGCATACACCTTGACATATTCAATGACTGGCAATTATGTTCTTATTTCTGATGATAAAGCTCATTCATTTCATAATCTCCCACAGTTTTCATTCTTAACTGTGGCTTTAAGATGTGCAACTTACATTTTGAATGGATCTATAATGTGGGAAAAATAAATAGTCTTTCTTCTGGAATGGTTTATGTATGTTTGCAGATAATTGTAGGCAGGAAGGCTGTTAACACGGAATTATTAAACTTCGTAATTCGGGTTAACTTAGAAAAGTATGTATTAAAAGAAAGTAGGAAAAAAAAGAAAGTAGGGAGAGGTTCAATGAGGGCAGGGCAAAATTAGATACCATTAGGAAGAAAAGTTCTCACTGGCAGGAAATACTAACGAGTTGGAATCGACTCAACGGCAACAGGTTTGGCTTTTTTTTGGTTCTAGGTTAACTCTAAAGTCCTCTCTCCTTAATAGGAGTTATCAGCTTGGATAGCTGACACTTTGAAGTCCAAGAGGATGTGACAAGTGCAGTAGAGGAAGACATGGCAGCCACCAATGCATCCAAAGGGGGTTTGGGCAATAAGAAGAATTAGGAGGGAGACCTATGGAGATGAGATACTGCAGATGAGACTTGTAAGAGGAGAGAGAGGTGAAGTTACTTTTTTTCCCCTAGAATCAGCATATATTCCAGGCTGAAGGGCCACATACACCTTAACAAATACCGTTAAAACCCGCCTGTTTCGACAGTTTTCAGGACCATTTGGGTACTCCACTGGGCAGTCCTTTCTAATTCTATGAGTATAGCAGGTAGAAGACTACATGCTACTAAGTAAGGTTGTTCAAGAACAGTTAAAATGACTTAGCATTATTACATTTTTAAGTAAAATAAAATTGTGCTTTATTCATCCCCTCCAAATTAGTTTGATTTTTCATGTAGTGATCTGAGATGTGGAAGGCGGAAGGCTGAGGTACTGGTGTACCCGCCTCTCTTTCCCCAACTTTAAGGCCCTATCAACATGCACTTAAAAAAGAGGTAAAGATTATCTATACTTTTATCAACATTATCCTAAATTTAAATTTCTTTAGAAGATCTACACTGAATTCTACTAACAGAAGGGTTAGCCACATCTACTGATAGACAGAGCTCAGAGAAGGAGATTTATACTCTGTAGCTGCCCTGGTTTCCTGAGAACCTCCCCCAGGGACTGTAGAGAACACATGAGCAGTGGGGTAGAATTCCTCCTTCCTGAGCCTATCACATATCACCTTAAAAGCTTAGGACTAAAGAACAGAGTTTATTAAAATGTCTTACTATGGTAGGGAAAAGAAAATTTTAACAGTGAAACTGAAGACTTACAAGCAAAGGCCAAAATAACCATTTCAGTAATCGATCAAGTCTGAGTAAATATAAAACTATGAAAAAGAAAATAACGGTGACTTCAAATCCAGTGATAACAATGTATGGTTCAGGAGCCTGTGCCAGGATAAAAAAGATCATAGACGTCACAGTTAGTACCTGTAAGAAAAAAAAAAAAGTTATTCAAAAGTGATACTTTCTAAAATAATTAAATAAATGGGTTTCTGCCATATGCACACATATATAAAACAAGCATGATTAAAGTGTATGGATATTGAGTTCTCTTTGTGTTTTAAAGGGCTAGGTGTCCCTCTCTGTTTTAAGTCAAATTAATTACTCCACTTATACATCTGACACTATCACTTCCCACATCTGTTCTGATAGTTTTCCCACCAAATTTGTCCTTTTCCTTCAATCACTCCTCCTTCACCAGCTCCTTTCCTCATCATCCTATAAACATATTTAAGCTGACTACTCTTAAAACACACACACACACACACACACACACACACTTTCTTTTCGTCCTGCTCCCCGCAGAAACCACTTCTGTTTTCCCGTTAATGCCTCTCAACTAAGTCATTATACTGGCTGCCTACCATTCGTGACTCCTAAATTCTTAGAAAAATGGAATCTACTGTCAAATTTAAGTTTATAATGTTGCCATGAAAAATGCTGGAGAGGGAAGTTTAAACCAAATTGTCAGAGAAAAACAATTCTGAGGTTTAATAGCTTTATTACTCAAAATGCAACTTTAAAACACTTCCTCTTATCTAAATACAATGCAATCAGAATTGAAGAATATTTTAAATGGGGAGAAAAAAAAAAAAAACCTCTTGAAGATAACTAATCTAACCCAGTTACCTCATTTCCAAATGAAGATACAGAACGTGGCAATTTTAAGTAACTTGTTACAGGAAAAAATGAGCTAGTAGGTCCCAGAGAGTTCTGTCAATGCCATTATCAGGGACAGTTCTATCCAAAATCTTTGTGTTCTTGTTAAACAGTTTGTCAAGTCCTCCCTAGCTAGACTTTTATAATCAGTCTGTCATCTGGTAGCAGCTATGTATTTTCACTTTAAATCTATACAAGCTACTTTTTCATAATTCTTTAAATTACTTTATTAGTGTAAAAATAGCCTACTTTTAAACTTACAAAGTGGTCAGTTTGACTACCTAGTAAATGTAATTAGTTAATAACTCCTGCTTTATAATATCAGCAGCATGTCATCTCAAACCACTCCATTTACTCTAACGGACCAAGCTCTTATGTTCACCAACTTTGAAATCAAAGGTCACCTTTTCAGGCTCCATCCTCTAACCTTTCTGCACCATGGTATTTGGCATTGACAATTACTCCATTTTCTTAAAATTTCCAGTGATTTCTGTAACACTGGGTTCTCCGTTAATCCATATTAGAGTCCTTACATCTTTCCTAAGCCCCTGTCCTTTGCTTCCAGTTATTTTTTAAGCATCACACTAATATTTGTATGATGTCTTCACCATGCTATGGAAACTGCTTTGCTAGGATCATCAGTGATCTCAGAATTACTAAATCTAATGAACATTTTTCAATCCTTATCCTATTCGACTCCATGACTAATTTGTCACTGGGCACCTTTCTCCTACTTCTCTACTCTTTTGGCTCCCCCATCACTTTTCCTAGTTCTCGTATCTCTGCAACTGCTCTCTTGGTAGGCTCTCTCCTTTAACCCATCCCTTTAAAATGCTGGCATTCCTCTGGGTTCTGTCCACAACCTACTCTATGAGTTTGGATCTCTACCCAGGTCTGTCCTCCAAACTTCACACACAGCCATTTAGAATCTCCATCTGGATAACCTATAGCAATTTCAAATTCACCATGCCCCAAACTGAACTCACCTTGCTCCTTCCTCCTGTATTCACTACGTCAATTGGTGATACCAACTTCTACCTTATCACTCATGCTAGAAACTTAAGATCACCCCTTCTGCTCCCCACAACTGATCAATCATCAGGTCCTGCTGACTTAATGCCTAATCATTTTGAGAATCCCTGCCCCTCTTTTCATTCCTACAACTACTGATCTGCTGCATCTTTTCCCTGAACTACCTTGACAAAGACTTTACAGTAAAATTTCTAAAATGCAAATTTGTGTATGCATTTCTCCTAATTAAAATCCTTCAATGGCTCCCCATGGTCTTTAGAATAAAGCCCACCTCTCACAATGGTATTCAAAGTGTTTGATGATCTAGTCCCAGCCTACTTCTCTAGCAAAGACATGCCTCACACTTTATCCACAGGATAATTGCAATATTCAATTCTCAGTCCTCATTTTGATGCTTCATCAGTATTTGACACAGTTGATCACTGCCTCGATAGTTTCTTCACTTGGCTTCCAGGACACCACACTCTTGGTTTCTCCCACCTCCACAAGTGCTCCCTCTCAGTTTTCTTCATTGGTTCCTCCTCCCCAGCCCCTTAATGTTGAATTGTTCCAGGGCTCAATCTATGGTCCTCTTCTCTCCTGTATCTACACTACTCTCTTGAAGATCTCATCCAGTGTGGCTGTAGCTACCTCTATTTCTCAAGCCCAGACCTCTTTTCCAAAATTTGGTCTGGTATATGCAAAATGCCTATCCAGTATTGACACTTGGATGTCTAACAAACACCTCTAACCTTGAAATCCAGATCTGAACTTTTGATCCTCCTCTCACATCTGTTTCACCTACAGGCTTTGCAATTTCAGTTGATGGGAACTCCATCCTTCCAGCTGCTTAGGTAAAAAAACCTTGGAGTCATCTTGAACTCCACTTTCTCTCACATCCCATATCTGGTTTATCAGAAAATTTTGTTAGTACTACTTTCAAAATATATCCCAAATGTGGCTACTTCTTATAACCTACCCTGGTACCACCTTGGTCTGAGCCACCATCATTTCTTGCCCAGATTACTGCAATAGCTCTAACTGGTCTCCTTGGTTCTACCCTTGCCTCTGCAGCAATCCCCTCCTGTCCTTCCACCCATCTATTTTCAACACAGCAGCTGATGTACTTTTTTAAAAAGTCAGATCATATACTCCTTACTCAAAACCTGCCTCATCTCCCACTATGTCCTCCTCACTCACTCCACTCCAGCTATACTCATTTTATTGCTCTTTCTTGAACCCTCAGGCACATTCCTACCACAGGGCCTTTGCACTGGATTTTCCTCAGCCTTAAACACTCTTCCTCCAGTCTCATAGATAACTCCTTCATCTCCTTCAAGTCTTCGCTCAGATGTCATCTTAACAAGGCCTAATCTGATTACTCTATTACTACAACTTGCAACCCGCCTTCCAGCCCCCTACTCTTACACTCCCTTACCTGGCTTTACTTTTCTATTGTTCCATAGCACTTACTACCATCTAGAACACTACATATTTTTTTATTATGTTTATTGTCCCCCTGGCCCTCCTACCCCAATACATATACTCCATGAGGACAGGCATCTTTGTTTTGTTCACTTATCTTCCCAGGAGCCTGGAACAGTGCCTGGGACATGGCAGGCATTCAAAAAAATATATGTTGAATGAATAAATAAGGCAGTACTCAACTGCTTATAGTTTGCTGTATGATATAGTTTTTTGCCTCCATGCCTTTGCTTAGGTTGCTCCCCCTTACGCTCTACTCTAGGTTCCTTTAGGGAGTTTCCTGGCACCTCTTCTTATCCTATCCTGGGTTAGATGCCTCTTCTGTGTCTTATGTCCACTTACCACATATTATAGCTATCTGCTCATGTGTGTGTCTGTCTGACTAAACTGAAGAACTCCATGAGTTGGGGAACTTGGTCTCAGTTCATTTTTGTTGTTCCAATTTCTAGCCCAGAGCTTGAACATAAACACTCAAATTGTTTGCTGAAGCAATTAAAATGTCAAAAACTAAACCTTTCTCACAAAACCCTGTTCCTCCGTCAGTGTTCCAGAGCTTCCAGTACCTGGCATATAAAACTCCAGACCTTCATGCCATTTCTGTGATTATTTACTCCTACCCAAAAGTAATCTCTCCCTCCTTTGAAATCCAGAGCAGTTTCTTACGCATTCTGACTTGTACTGTATTATAGTTATTTCTCAGAATCATGAACTCTTGGGTAGGAAGGATATTATATGTAATTTGTTCTACCCATCACCTGGAGTTTGAATCTCCTTTACAACATCCTCACCAGTACTCTTCTATGCCTGGAGACCCTGCTAAATCCTGGCACGTACCTTCCCAAGTGACCGTTCGATTTTAGGGCTTTTTCCAACATAAAATTCTTCCTCATATTAATGGAAATTTGTTTCGCTGTAACTTATAACTATTGCCACTCCCTTTTGTACATATCAACTTCTTAAAATTGAAAACAATTATTTTTCCCTTCCCCTGAAGTTCTCTTCTCCAATTCCTTCAACATTTTCTCCTACGATAGTTTCCACTTCTCTAACCAAGTCATCTTCTTCCAGATGATGATTCAAATTCTCCAAAACTCTTAGGGCGCCATGTTGGGAACTGACTGACTGCAGTGTTCCTGTTATGGTCTGACGCCCCAGAAATGGGCAGTTCCATCGTTGTCCACTGTATCAGCCTCCAGAATGGTCACCGCAAACTCCTGACTTAAACACAGTGTGTTGTTGGCTTCTGAATGCTGCAACTGCATCTCCCTCACCTGGTAACCTAGGTACCTGGTTTGTGGGTCCAAGTGTGGATCATTCATGTCGATCTGGTGATTCTGATTTATGACTGGGCCATGAACTCTCTGAGGAAGACGACAGGGTCTTACTTCTCTCCTTTCCCCAAGTGCAGAGCAAAATGCCTTGCCTCTGCGGAGGACTTGAGAAAGACAAGGTGGAAAGAAAAACAAGGGCATTCGGCTTCATAAGAACCCCGCCCCCGCCCACGCCCCGGCCCTCACCAGCCGTAGCATCTTCACGTGGCCTTTCACGCTTAGGCAGAAGGGGTGATGCGACACCTTCGGCAAGGATTGGGGGGAATTCGGCCTCCGCGGCTGCGCGGCCTGCATAACGCCGGCAGACCCAGCAGCTGCACCCCGCTCTCCTTGCAGTCTTTCTCCTCGAAGCACTGTTCCGCTGGGCTTCGCGCAGCAACCGCCTCTGCTTCTGCGCGCGGTCCGCCACTCCCCCAGGCTTCCCGTCCTCGTGCGCGCATGCGCTTGTCGTCGCGGCCCACGCTCGTGCGCATGCGCCCCACGGGAGCCTTCCGCTGGCAGCCCTCGCTCCCTTTTATGTTGCGGTTCTTTCTCGCCCTCCCCCGCCTCCATGTCCCAGGGCTTAGAAGACGCTGGAGGCCTGGTGGCGAAGTAGTTAAGAGCTCGGATGCTAACCACAAGGTCGGCAGCTCGAATCCACCAGCTGCTCGTTGGAAAGCTTATGGGCCAGTTCTACTCTGTCCTATAGGTCGCCGTGAGTCGGAACCGACTCTATGGCGCCTAAGCAATAGAGGGGACTCGGGAGCCACTCAGGCTAAACCCGTCTTGGTCCCTTTTAGCGCCTCTTCGCCCTGCGTAGCGCTAATGACAACTGCTCTTCAGCTCTCCCAAGGAGCTTTCGTATCTGCAAGTGCTTCCTAAAGGGGCGGGTGGGAGGGGAGGAGCCTGCCTTCCCACACCTTGGACTTCTCAGATGCCGCCTCCTTAGAGAGGATTTCCCTTGGCCACCCCGTTTAGAGTAGCCACCAACACTCTTTCCTCATACCATTTATCACCAGATGATATATATATCCTTCAAAAGCAAAGACCTGCCTGTCTGCTTCCCTCACTGTGGAGTCCGCAGGGTCTGGCACAGAGTAGGGTAGAATATGTGTAGTCTGAATAAATGACCTCGGCCTCAGACCCTATCTCTGCCCCCAGGGGCTCACAGTCTGAGTTTTCAAACGCAGTCTGGGTGTATGTTTGTTCTGCATATTTTTATTTTTGCCTCCCACTGATGTTGTTTTCCCTAGAATGGCTGGAGGCCCTTTCGATACTTCATGTTTTTCACAAGTGCTCCTGTGAAACCATAGCTCCACCATCTTGAAGTGTTTCCTTTTAGCTATATGAAGTGTATGTCGCTCCTTTTATCTGATTTCAATTCTGTCTTGAATAACTTGGCTATCACCCCCAGTCCACTCAGATCTCTTTGGATTCTGCCCATCTCAGCTTCAGTCCATTTCATGAGTTCAAATCTGATCAACAGGTACCTCCAAGAACCTCATCCTGTTACTCCCAAAAATATTGAACTTAATCCTGAAGTTTATTTATGGAGGGCGCACTTGCCCTGTGCTAGGTCTGTGGCAGATATCTGGGAAGCTCAAGAAGGGATTGCAGCTTTCAGATAATAGATCTGGAGGGTAAGTGAACCCTCTGGCAAATGACTTCCTTCTGCGTGTCTGAGAGGTGACTGCCTGCATTGTATACTACTGGTAGAGGTGGGAAACACCTCCACTGAAGCACCACCCAAGCACTAGAACACACACACATACAGCCACCACTCCTGAAGGGCAACAGCCCGGATCACAGGGCCTGGGCCTGTTGGATTATAAAATCCCGTCTACCTCACTCCTTGTCTGGATTTTTGCTACCCAACTATTGATGAGGTTACAGGCTTCCTCTGCCCCCCACCACCCCATTTGTCTGTCCAGTTGGAATATTGATTGTGCCCTCCTGAGGAACCTAGTACATTTAGAGTCTAGACCCTGGAAATGTCACAGTTCAGAGGAAAGACCATGGGCTGTGAAGCAAGACAGATGGGCTTGAATTCTGGCTCCAACACTTAATGACTGCTTCTTAATTTTGAATAAGTTATCTAATTCTCCAAGTGTCATTTGGGAGAATGGGTGTGACAATATCTACCTTCAGAGTTGTTGGGGGGAGGGGGTGAGGAATAAATGACACTGTGTATGTGAGGTGCCTGGATAAGAGTAGGTGCTCAGTTGTTGTTGCTGGTTGCTGTGGAGTTGATTCCGACTCATGGCAACCCTATGCGTGCAGAGTAGAACTGCTCCATAGAGTTTTCAAGGCCCTGACCTTACAGAAGCAGATTGCCAGGCCTGTCTTCCCAGGCACCTCTGGGTAGGTTTCGAACCACCAACCTTTCAGCTAGTAGTGGAGCTCTTCACTATCTGTGTCACCCAGGGACTCCTAGGTGCTCAATTAGGTAATCTCTAGTAATTAATCACCACCACTTGTTTGTCAGTTTGTCATGCTGTGGTGGCTTGCATGTTGCTGTGATGCTGGAAGCTATGCCACTGGTATTTCAAATACCAGCAGGGTCACCCATGGTGGACAGCTTTCAGTGGAGCTTCCAGACTAAGACAGACTGGGAAGAAGGACCTGGCAATCTACTTCTGAAAAAATTGGCCAGTGAAAATCTTATGGATAACAGCAGAACATTGTCCGTTGCAGTGCTGGAAGATGAGCCCCTCAGGTTGGAAGGCACTCAAAATACTACTGGGGAAGAGCTGCTTCCTCAAAGTAGAGTCGACCTTAATGACGTGGATGGAGTAAAGCTTTTGGGACCTTCATTTGCTGATGTGAAATGACTCAAAATGAGAAGAAACAGCTGCGAATATCCATTAATAATAGGAACACAGAATGTATGAAGTATGAGTCTAGGAAAATTGGAAGTCATCAATTTTCAATATCCTAGGCATTAGTGAGCTGAAATAGACTAGTATTGGCCATTTTGAATTGGACAATCATAAGGCTTACTATGCCAGAAATGACAAATTGAAGAGGAATGGTGTTGCATTCATCATCAAAAAGAACAACTTCAAGACCTATCCTGAAGTACAATACTGTCAGTAATAGGATAATATCCATATGCCTACAAGGAAAACCAGTTAATATTAATATTCAAATTTACTCACCAACCACTAATGCCAACAATTAAGAAATAGAAGATTTTTACCAACTTCTACAGTTTGAAATTAAACATGCAATCAAGATGCATTGATAATTACTGGTGAATGGAATGCGAAAGTTGGAAACAAAGAAGGATCCATAGTTGGAAAGTATGGCCTTGGTGACAGAAACAATGCCGGAAAGATAGAATTCTGTAAGACCAATGACCTATTTGTTGGAAATACACTTATTAAACAACATAAACAGCGACTGTACACATGGACCTCTCCAGATGGAATACACAGGAGTCAAATCGACTACATCTGTAAAAAGAGATGGTGGAGAAGCTAGTATCATCAGTCAGAACAAGGCCACGGGCCGACTGCAGAACAGACCATCAATTGCTCATATACAAGTTCAAGTTGAAGCTGAAGAAAATTAAAACAAGTCCATGAGAGCCAAAGTAGGGCTTTGAGTATAACCCACCTAAATTTAGAGACCATCTCAAGAACAGATTTGACATATTGAACACTAATGACTAAAGACCAGGTGAGTTGTGGGATGACATCAAGGACATCATACATGAAGAAAGCAAAAGGTCATTAAAAAGATAGGAAAGAAAGAAAAGACCAAAATGGATGTCAGAAGAGACTCTGAAATTTGCTCTTGAACATAGAGTAGCTAAAGCGAATGGAAGAAATGATGAATTCAGAGATTTCAAAGGGTAGCTTGAGAAGACAGAGTAAAGTATTTTAATGAATTGTGCAACGACCTGGAATTAGAAAACCAAAAAGGAAGAACATGCTCCGCATTTCTCAAGCTGAAAGAACTGAACAAAAAATTTAAGCCTCAAGTTGCAACACTGAAGGATTTTATGGGCAAAATGTTGAGCAATGCAGGAAGCATCAAAAGAACATGGAAGGAATACACAGAGTCAATGTACCAAAAAAAATTGGTTGACATTCATCCATTTCCAGAGGTAGCATACGATCAAGAACCGATTGTAATGCAGGTAGAAGTCCAAGCTGCACTCAAGGCATTGATGAAAAACAAGGCTGCAGGAATTGATGGAATACCAGCTGGGATGTTTCAACAAGTGGATGCAATGATGGAAGGGCTCACTCATCTATGACAAGAAATTTGAAGGATAGCTACCTGGCCAACCAAATGGAAGAGATCCATATTTGTGCCCATTCCAAAGAAAGGTCATCCAACAGAATGCAGAAACTATCAAACAATATCATTAGTATCAGACACAAGTAAAATTTTGCTGAAGATAATTAAAAAATGTTTGCAGCAGTACATGGACAGGAAACTGCCAGAAATTCAAGCCAGATTCAGAAGAGGATGTAGAATGAGGGATATCATTGCTGACGTCAGATGGATCTTGGCTTAAAGCAGAGAATACCAGAAAGATGTTTATCTGTGTTTTATTGACTATGCAAAGGCATTTGAACGTGTGGATCATAATAAATTACGGATAACATTTCGAAGAATGGGAATTCCAGAACACTTTGTGCTCATGCAGAACCTGTACATAGACCAAGAGGTAGCCATTCGAATAGAACAGGGGGATACTGCGTGGTTTAAAGTCAAAAAGTTGTGTGTCAGGGTTGTATCCTTTCACCATATTTATTCAATCTGTATGCTGAGCAAATAATCCAAGAAGCTGGACTATATGAAGAACGACTCATTAACAACCTGTGATATGTAGATGACACAACCTTGCTTGCTGAAAGTGGAGAGGACTTGAAGCACTTACTGATGAAGATCAAAGACTACAGCCTTCAGTATGGATTACACCTCAACATAAAGAAAGCAAAAATTCTCACAACTGGACCAATAAGCAACATCATGATAAACAGAGAAAATATTGAAGTTGTCAATAATTCCATTTTACTTGGATCCACAATCAAGGCCTGTGGAAACAGCTGTCAAGAAATCAAATGATGCATTGCATTGGGCAAATCTGCTGCAAAGACCTCTTTAAAGTGTTAAAAAGCAAAGATGTGACTTTGAGGACTAAAGTGCACCTCACCCAAGTCACTATATTTTCAGTCGCCTCATATGTATGGGAAAGCTGGACAATGAACAAGGAAGACGGAATAAGAATTGATGACTTTGAATTATAGTGTTGGCGAAGAATATTGAATATACTATGGACTGCTGGAAGAAGTAACAAATCTGTCTTGAAAGAAGTACAGCAAGAATGGTCCTTAGAAGGGAAGATGGCGAGACTTTGTCCCAATTACTTTGGACATGTTATCAGGAGGGACCAGCCCCTTGAGAAGGACATCATGCTTGGTAAAGTAGAGGGGCAGTGAAAAAGAGAAGACCCTCAAGGCGACACAGGGGCTACAGTGGGCTCACAGATAGCAATGATTGTGAGGATGGCACATGACTGGGCAGTGTTTCGTTCTGTTGTACACAGCGTCGCTATGAGTTGGTACCGACTCATGGCACCTAACACCAACAACAATAATTAATTAACCAATCAGTCGCTGGTAGGATTATTCGTCCGTTCCTGAGTTTTGTCAAGTTAGGGGTTCATTCCGCCAGCATTCCAGTGGTGAGATGTCCTATCTGCAAAAGCTGAACGCCTCTCTTGAATTCTTTGCCTTTCCGGAGAGAGGGTGAAATGCGGCGGGGTCTCTTTAAGAGCCCGCGCGGGGACCGGGGCGGCGCGCAGAGGCCCGGCTAGCGCCAGGCCGCGTTTTCCCTGACTCGCCCAGGAAGGAAACCCGGCCCGCCGGATCTGCCCGGGCCACGATGCTGCGGCCGCTGCAGAGCTGGGCTGCTCGGGCGGTACGCAGCGTGTGGCCATCTAGCCCCGGGAGTCCCGCCCCGGGACCCGGGCCGCGCGGGGCGCAGCGCCGGGCCGGGCCTCCGGGTAACTCGTCTCTTTGTTTCTGCCTTCTTTGGCTCACTACTGCGACCCCCGCGTTTTTCCCTCGCCTGCGGCCCCCTCACTTCCCACCCCTGGGCTCGCCCGAACCCAACTCGCCTCCCTCGGCCGCGGGGGGCGAGGGCGGTCGTTGGCTGGTACCTGGACGCAAGCTGGGCCAGCGGGCCAGGACAGTGGGCTTATGCCCGGCCTCTTGTTCTGGGCTGGGGAGAGGGGCTCTAAAGGGCAGAAAGACCCTCTCCCGCTCCCCGCGGACGGGGGCTGCTTTGAACACTGCCGCCCAGGGTTCAGTCGCCGACCCATTTCGGGTCCCATTCTTTAGGCTTTGGGGAAAAATGGAGGCCAGGAGCTGCATCTAACCAATCCCCGGCTGATGCTGGTGCGAGCCAGTGGTGGATAGTTTAGGTTCCTAAGGTCTGTCTCCTCCCACACCCTATAGGAGTGCGGGCTCCGCCAAGTCAGAAATGGAAGCAGCCGTTCTAGTGAAGTTGTGGTGTTCCTAGGCCTTGCGTGGTACAGAGGCTTCTCAGAGGCACCTGTAGGTGGATGGGCTAAGATGCCAGAAGCCTGGTCCCCACGAAGCCCGTGCCCTTGCCCACTCCTACCCCGTGTGCTATTTGTAGAGGCCACACAGCGTTTTTATTTGCTGGACACACTTCTGTTGACATCATAAATATAAAACATGCGGACAATGAGAAATATACTAAGTGAAAAAAGCTGAGCACAGTAGGGTCCCAGACATGGCAGCAGGATGCAGGCAGGCATATAGAGCAGTGGGCAGTCTGCCTCCTTCCGTCCGTGGAGAGTCCCAGGTGTCTTGGAAAACATCTTTAGGCCAAGGAGCAAGCATAAAAATGACCATTTTTATGGTGGTTTCGCAAATCAGGGCAAAAGAATTGGTTGTTTGAAACTAAGTTTAAACATCAATTTCTTTTGTAGGTAAAGATAGAGAAAATGAAAAAGAGAAAAAATCAGTGGTAAGTCTCTCTTTTATGAGCACTTTCCAGTGTAGGATAATATTTTTTTTTTTGTGGGGGAAGAGGGTCCATTCATTCATTGGACTGGAAATCAGATTTAAAAAAATAAATCCCAAAGATGGGTTAAAAAGAAGCACAGGTCACTAATATTTTCCGATGAACAAAGGACCTGAACAGGTATTTCTTATGGGAATTTATTAATGGCTAATAAACATGAAACACATTCACCGTCTCTCAATGAAAGGATGCTGTTAAAGCATGGAGATAGAAAGGCTTTGGAGTTAGACACACCTGGGTTCCAATCCCAACTCTTACTAGAGGTGGACAGCCCTTAACCTCTTAGAGCCTCAGTTTCCCCATCTGTATAAAGGGGAAAGTAATACCTCATGTGGTTGTTAAGAGAATCAGTGTTACAAGGTTTGCAAAACATAGAATATACAGGAGCTAATACTAATAAAATTAAATAATAATTAGCAAAAAAATTAAATTAAAATTAAATAAAATTAGCAAAGATTTAGAACAAGATATACCCAATTCTACTTTGTAACACATGGGGTTGCCATAAGTCGGAATTGACTCGACAGCAATGGGTTTTTGGTTTGATATGCAATATTGGGGTCCCTGGGTGGTACAAACAGTTAAGCACTCCAGTACTAACTGAAAGATTGACTGAACCTACCCAGAGGCACCTCAGAAGAAAGGCCTGGCAATCTGCTTTCAAAAGGTCACAGCCTTGAAAACCCTATTGAGCACAGTTCTACTCTGCAACACATGGGGTCACCAAGAGTTAGAATTGACTCAACGGCAGCTGGTTTCGTTTTGCTATTTTATACCTGATGTTAGTAGGATGTGGGATAAGGCACACACTCATTTTGCTAAAGGGGATGTGAATTGGGGCAACCGTTCTAGAGGGTAATTTGGCACCAAGCATCATAGCATTAAAATGCATTTATCCTTTGACTCAGTGATTACACTTCTAGAAATCTATTGAAGGGAAATAATTGCAGCCAATGACAAAGATTTATGTTCAGGGATGCTTACCACCGTAGTATTTACAGTATCAAAAAAATGGGTATCACAACGTGATTTTATAATAAAAAATTGTACAGAACTTAACATTCAGAAGTAGGGATTTCAGTAAGTCACGGTTTCTCTTATATGACAGAATATTATTCAGCTGCTCAAAATCATGTTTTTGAAAAACATTTAGTGACTTGGGAAAGTACTCACTGTGTAAGAGATAAAAAAAAACACAAAAACAAGATTAAAAGATTAAAATATGTGAAGCATGATCCAAAGGGAGGGGGGATCTGTAGAATGATGTATAGATTGAGTTTTTTTTTAATATCTAGAAAGAGGAAAAGTTGTTTCCTTTAAAACACCAAAAACTCAAATTCGTTAGCTCCCTAGTGGGGTGTCTGTGCCCTTTTGCACACTCCTTGAGTTCATTTTGTAGTTTGGGGTTCTAACAGTAGCTGAGAGGAACCTGGACTGGAGGGTGGCCTGGTGTCTGTTGGAAGTGTCATTGTTGAGCCCTCTGGGGTACCTTTAGGATGAAGGCAGGAGGAAACCTTTACAGTAGCCTGAGCTGGGTGGGGTGAGGTGAGACTGGCCCACTGTGACCCAGTGTCTTATGTAGGGCCTGATTGGGGTCATGAGAAGTGCCTGCCAGGCCCGGGTGTGATTTCCAACTGTTCCCTCCCAGCCCTGGCTCCTTGGGCAAGTTACTTAAGTGACCTGCGTTGCTCTGGGTACCTCCAGCCTGGGTGTAAAGGAACAGGTCACTGTGCTGCAGGACAAGCAGTTCCCTGTGTGTTCTCAAGGCCAGTCTTCTTACTGCGGGGTAGCTGCCCTGTGATCTGCTGGAGCCAAAACCACTTGGCCTGTGTCACCTGGCAGTGCCCAGCTGAGCAGAGCCACCTCAGAGTCGCCGGGCAGCAGGTTTGAGGCCCAGCCCATAGTCTGAATCAGAGGGGCTGCGTGCTACTGGATCCTCATGTGTAACTCCTCTGGAATTCTGAAGCAGAGGGTCTGGGTTACGCATTGAGAAACCCTGCTGCAGACCAGTGGAGTGCAACCTTGCCTGCTCGTGAAATCACCTGGAGAGCTTTGACGCACACGGATGACTACGTGCCATCCTCAGAGATCGTGGGTTAATTAGTCTGGGCTGTGGCCTGGATGAAAAGAGGTGTGAAACCTCCCAGGTGATTCTACATGTAGCCAAGGCTGGGAACCACTGTCTTGGATGCTTTTTTCCCCTACAGTGAGGTATTTGTAGGAGACGCTTGCTGGTTTTTGGTGGAGAGAGACCCCAGATGACTGTCTGTGGCCCCTCCCACTAGTGATAGGACCCCTCCACCAGATATGGTCATTGTGAGCAGATTGTAAGCTCAAGCTGTCCTGCTTTAGTCCTTCCTGTTAGTGCATTCTTCTCTTCTGTCAGGAATGTAAGGGCCCACTTCTCAGGTTCTGGAGAGGTTAAACGCAATCATGGTGTTGGTCACCTGTCTTAGGGCCAGGCCTACGCCAAGGTGCTCAACCAAGTCCTGGCTCTTTTTTTCCTCTCCTTTCCTAATATTCTCTAATCAATGACTGAGTGCTTTATTCTGCACAAAGCACAAAGCAGTGAGTTAAGTACTAGATAACATACATGGTTCCTGACCTCAAAGACGTTAGTTCTGGTTATGGAGGCAGCTAGGGAAAGGTCGGGCTAGGATGGGTGGGCAAGCCATGCATGCTCTAGGAGGGTCTGGTCTGGTGGGGAGTGGTCTGGTAACCACCAGTGGGGGGCCTTCAGCCTGCCACTGAGGGTCATCTTTTTGTTTAATATTATTAACAATGGGACGCTGGGGGTTTCCTGAGGATGATTTTTGTTTTATACATTGAAGTCTTGGGCTGAAACAGTTATGCTGTTCACATGAGCCCTTCCCCAGACATCATTCCCTGATGTTCCCTTGGGCATGTGATTTCTGGTTCTAACATACATTTGTCTTTTGCCAGATCTGTGTTGAGGGCAATATTGCAAGTGGGAAGACCACATGCCTGGAGTTCTTCTCCAGCACCACAGACCTAGAGGTATGGCCCCACACTGGGTTCCAAGGAGCCTAAAAAGCTTGGAGTAATTTAGAGAGGGTGTAGGTCAGGCGTATCCAATAGAAATAAAATGTGAACTGGGCCCAGGGAGCAAGGCTGCCTGTGACCCAGCCTCTGGTGGATCTGAGTGGTGTAGCAGATATTGCCTCAGGGGATAGGAACAGAGAGAGTTCTGAGAGACCCAGAAGAAGCGGGGTGGAGGTGGGAGGGGCAGAGAGTGATTCACAGATGAGGGATATTTGAACTGGATTTTGAAGGATGTATAGGAGTTTTCTATATAGTGTGAAAGTTGATATGACATGGGGTTGGTTGGGCACACTGGGCAGAAGGAACAGCATCAGCAAAAGCACAGAGGTGTGAAGAGTACGCATGTGTGTGGGCACTCCTTGGGGTCCCGTTCATTGCTTTTCTTTGGGCTTTTGTGTCCTATGGCCCTGCTAATGTGTACTCTGAAGGTCCACAGATGGATCCGAGTACTCTCAAAATCTTGGCCTCAAGAACACCATTTAAATTCTTCCCAGCACATGTCCTTACACTCAGAAAGGCTCTTGCACAGCCTGGGTTCGGGGGAGGTGAAAGGCCTGCCCTGCCCACAGTCAGAGGACCTGATCTGTGTCTCAGGAGATGCAGGATGGTGGAGAAGTTGGCAGTCATCTGAAAGTTCAAACAGGGGACCAGAGGGAGAGAATGGCTCTCAAGCCAGGGAGACAGGGAGGCTACTAAAGAAACATAGGCTCTTAGCTGCCAGTGTGCCCAGTGCAAAGATCAGAGGGTAGACATCGAGGCACAGCCTCATGGGAAAGCTCCCAATTGGGGACCTGGGCTTCAAGCCCAGGTCTGTCTGGCTTACCTCCTGGCTCCTCCCACCTTCCTGCCCAGCCTGACATGGTGGGCAGTACGGGCTAGGGGCTGAGACAAAACACTCAGAGAAGGATAGAAAGGACCAGCCTGGCCTTGGGGAGCCCCCAGGGCAGCCAGAGAGGTGGGATGCACGTATTCCTGCCTACAGAGGTGGATAGAATGTCCTCAGGTCATTTCTGGAAGTTGCGTGAGGAAGCCATGTCTAGATGGGGTTGTAGCCCTGCAAAGGGATCTGCTCAACCAGTTTGGCCCTCCCTGGGTGCCCAAATCTTGATTCATTCTCTGTCTCTCTCTCTCAACACTTGCATACTTTCACAGAGCTCAGACCTGAGAAGGAGCAGCTCCCTGTTGTTTTCTTTCCTTCCAGGTGTTGACAGAGCCTGTGCCCAAGTGGAGAAATGTCCGTGGCCATAATCCTCTGGTGAGCAGGTTGTTCCAGCATGAACCACCAAGTTCCCCTTCAGCAGCTGAGAAAGGTGGTGCTGATGCCTGAGTCTGAACCCAATCTGCCATCCTGCCCGGGCATATTCCTCCCTCTTAGCTGAGTTGGAGGAGGAGGAGGGGACAAGTGGAAAATGGTGGCATGTTGGTGTTCTGAGATCAAAGATCTCTGAGGCTGGGTGGGAGGACCTCCCGTCTGCTCTCTCAGGTGGCCAACCTTGGCTGCCCATCTCCCGCTGCTCATTCCACCCCCACCCTCTCCTAGAAGAAGCCCGTCAGAACCCAGGCCTGGCCCCCCAGGACCTATCTCCAAGTAACCAGTGTCCATGGTAAACCCCTGATTTGAGTTGTACTTGGCACATCCAAGGACAAGGGTGCCCTCTTGCTCACCCTGAAGCTACCTGTCTGCTTTCCCAATGGTGGACTTAGCAAGCAGGGGCTGCACTATGCCTGTCCCCTTCCTCATTCCTGGTTCCAAAGCCTCTGGATGCTGGAGAGAGCTGGGTGCTGCAGGAGGAAGCGTAAGAAAGGATGTAGGCTCTGGGCTCCCGCCCCTGACGCAGGTACTATGAGTCTCATTTTTCAGGTGAGGAAACTGCAGCTCACGTAAGTTCCCCAAGGCCATGCATCTGCTAATAACAGATCTAGACTTGAACCTTGGACTCTGAAGCCTGTGCCGCCCCCCACCCCTGTTTCTAGCAACACAGGTGGTATTTCCTTGCGTGGTTCATTAGACCCTGAGTTCCGTTAGGGACAGAGACTGTGTCCATTTTCATTTGCCACTATTTGCTAGAACAGCACATTGCCTAGCACATAGTAGATGCTCATTTATTCATTCATTCAGTGAATATTTATTGCATGTGCCAGACACCGTTCTAGATGCTGGGAACGAAGCAGTGAGCATCACAAAGCCCCTGCTCTCCTGGCGCCAAGAGTCCAGTGTGGGGACGCAGAAGACAAATAAATGTATAATATGTCAGGTGGTAATAAGAGCTATGAAGATGGCTAAGGCAGGTAAAAAATGTTATGTAAGGCAAAACCTTCGAGTCTGTGTGAACAACGAATCCATGGAGTCCTAAAATGAATTTCACCTCTCTGCCTCTGGGAGAAGAATGGGATGCCACTCATCCTCTTTGGGTGCAATAAAGAAGCCTCAGAAACATTTATATTCTCCAGAAAATGGGGAGGAGCCAGGGCTGGGTTATTAAGTAAGATAGCTAGAGTTGCAGATGTTAGGGGTTTTAGGTGACATTTCACAGAACAGAGTCATGGTCTCAGAAGTCCTAGTATCCTCGGTACAAATAGCGTTTCTAATGAGAGTTTTATAATAAATAATACAACAGAATTAGACAACTTTACACAGAGTTTTCACTCTGCACAGAAGAGCAAGATTGGTACTTTTGTGAATGGTCTCGCTACATCACTTGATCTGAATTGGTTTTCTGATGCAGAGAGGGGTCTGTTTCTGCAGCTATGGGGCAAGAGGGAGTGTTTCTCCTAACCTTCCTTGAGATTGTCTTTCACCTGCAGGTAGGAGGTCTGCACTTTTCAATGCAGAGCCTTGGAGCTTCATTAGTTAATCCAAGAATTATTAAAAAAAAAAAAAAAAGCCAAAAATACAGAAAAGATAATTAGCAAGTGGAATAAGGGGCATGAAGTGTTTTGGATCTGATATCTATGGGAGATGGGGTGGGGGCTTTTATTTTAGATAGGATAGCCAGGGAAGGTGGCTCTGATGAGTGACATCTGGGCAGAGACCGAAACAAAGCCAGGGTGTGAGGAATGCAGATAATCTGGAGGAAGAGTGTCAGGACGGAAGGAACAGCAAATACAAAGGCCCTGAGGTGGAATCATGCTGGGTGTGTTTGGGGGCACACTGAGGAGGCTTGTGTTGCATGGCTGGAGGCTGACTGAGCTGGAGGGAGAATGGTAGGAGACAGAGAAGACGGAAGGGATTCTCTAGGCCCTGTAGGGTGTGGTGAGGGCTTTGGATTTCATTCTGAATACAGTGGGGAGCCCCTGTAAAGTTCTGAGCAGGGCAGTGGTTTAGGTTTAACTGATTTAGCTGAACAGGTTTACTTTGGCTGCTGGGCAGGGAACAGATTGCAGGGGCTCAGTAAACATCTACTGAATGAATGTTCCCAGGGACTTTATGTGGGCTTCTGTTGTAGCTGTTGCTGGGCTGTTCTGTAATTGCTCTGGTGCTTGTCTTCTGTCTGTCCTGTTCTGAGAGCCCTGCGATATTGTATTCATCTCTCGCCCCAGCCTAGCCCCTAGGTTTCACGCATTTGCATTTCTAACAAGTACATAAGAATCACCTGGGGATCTTGTTAAAATGCAGATCCTGATTCAGTATATCTGGGGTGGAAATGTAAATTCTCAGCAGGGAACTTGTTAGAAATGGGAATTCTCAGCAGAGATTCCAACCACTATGAACCAGTTGGAAGCCCTGGTTTCATGAGATGGCTGTCAGTGCCCAAACAGACCAGGGTTCTGCAGATGCCACTGTGAGGTAAAGGGCTGCGTTCTCCTTCTGCAGGGTCTGATGTACAGCGACCCCTCTAGATGGGGCCTCACACTGCAGACATATGTGCAGCTCACCATGCTGGACCAGCACACTCGTCCTCAGGTATGTTCTGGATGCTCAGTTTCAACCTTCAAAAAATTTTTCTTCTGGTTGGGTGTGTGATTGTAAGGAAAGGAAACCTGTGTCACAAGGAAGCTCATCTTGGCTGTCAGTGGGCTCAGACTTCTCTGTCTCTGGGGCCAAGGTCTCTTGTCCCTGTGACTGAGGACCAGCCTCCATGCCTTCACTAACCTCCGCTAGCCAAGTGGTTGCTGTGATACTGCCCTGAGCCCAAGTCTTCATGACTCTGCCACTCCTGGGCCCAATGCCATTTGACTCAGCTCTCCTCAAAGGGTGGGCCCTGGACCAGCAGCAGCAGCAGCACCTGGGAACTTGTTAGAAATGCAAAGTCTCTGGCCCTACTCTAGACCTGCTGAATCAGAAATTCTGGGGATGGGGCCCAGCAACCTGTGTTTCATCAAGCCCTCCAGGTGAATTTGATACACATGGAAGTTTGAGAACTCTCATCTGAGCTCACAGGGTCTGACTGTTAGTACAAATTCTTCAGAGAAAGAATCTGATTGGCTCAGTTTGGGTCAGGTGTAGGGGCAGGATAACAGGGCACAAACATGGCTGCTTAGGCCCGTTCCACCAGCAGGGATGTGAATGGGCAGGGTCTCTTAGAAGAAAGGGTGGCTGAGGGGATCCTGATTGGCACCTGTGGTTCAAAACTGTAAGCACAGCCTAAGAGGCTTTGGCTCATGAAGGAGATGAATTGTGTCTGTAGCCAGTTACGTTGGCACAACCATTGGGCCTGGGTGCTTGCAACTATAGCTATAGTCCTACAAACCTGTGTGTTTAAAAATGCCAAGATGTAAGCTGAACGTTTTTGGTGAATATAAATTTCTGTCTCCCCACATCTCTGTCTAAAAAGTACAGGTGAGAGGATCTGAAGTTGCCTCTTTCCCCCTTTGCCCACCCTACTTTTCCTGAGGGGGCACTCAGCTGCAAACCTAAATTGTATCTGCTATATCTGCAAGGCTAATTAAGATAGGACGTAAATGTATTCCTCCATGAGGGAGGTAGAGAGAAAGAGAGATGGACAGACTGAGAAAGATGAGCAGAAAGAGGGAGATGGATGAATGGGGAGCTAGCACAAGAATCGTAAGTAAAGAGAGGGTGGGAAAACGGAAAGGAAGATGTATGGACAGAGAGCAGGTGGACAGATGGATGAGCAGGGAGAGTTCTGGTTTGCTGGCCCGGGTCCCATGGTGGGTGTCCTGGGCTGCTGAGTGAGGAGGGCAGAGTTTACTCACTCGGTATCAAGAGCGAGGGTCCCTCCTGCTTCCCAAAGGTGCACTGTGGACAAAGGGAAAGGTCATTGGTGGACGGTCTGGTACTCTGCCCGAGAGGGGCATTGCCAGCATCTTCCTCCTCCCTCTTGGGCACAGTTCTTCCCAGCTTACAAGGGCTGCAGTGATCTCTGCAGGGGCCCTGTGGGGAGGCAGCAAAGTTGAGGGCCCCTTGTGGGCCAGACCGTCAGGCAACAGTGGCAGAACCCCCAGAACCTCGCCCGCACTGCAGCATCCATGGGGCTCTAGCTCAGGCATACAGATCCCTCCGCATAAGCAAATTCACCACACGGACATTTAGGTCTGGAACAATCACCGCACTTTGCCTCTGCGCAGCACTTGGCAGTTTTTCCAGTACTTTCCCAAACCCATGTTCCAGTTGAGCATCACCTCTCCTGTGAAGGAAGCTGCTACGGGGCCCTCAGCCGGGCACTGCTGTGCTGCCCACTGAGGTCCGGGGCATGGCTAGGGCCCAGGTCGGAGGCAAGAACACAGCGGAACTTCAGTCACACCTGGGTTCTTCTCTGGTGACTGCCTCACCGTCCCTTCGGCCTCTGAGTTCTTGTATTCAGCGAAGACCTTAGGCAGGGGAGTAACAGCCCTTCTCAAGGCTTTCTGACCTCTTTGCCTGAGTTAGTGAATCACTTTTTGTTTTCCTTTAGACGTCACCTGTACGGTTGATGGAGAGGTCGATTCACAGCGCAAGATACGTTTTTGTAGAAAACCTGTATAGAAGGTATCGAAGTTTGCACAATTAATAATCTATTAAACCATAAATATTTAGAAATAAAATTGGGACTTATTTATTCAATGGACAGATATCGAGTACCTGCCATGCTGTATCACTTATTTACTGCCACAGTAATGCTGTGTGACAAACTGTCACAAAACCTCAGCGGCAAGCAGCTGTCTGCTGATGGCCGTGCGTCTAGGTGGTTGGCCAGGCAGCTGCTGACCTTGGCTGGGCTCAGTCATAGGACTGGGGGCTGACTGGTCTGGATGGCCTTGACAGGGCTGACTGGGTGGCTCATCTTCCTCTTGCCTCTCATCATCCTTCTGGAACCAGCTAGCTAGCCTGAGCGTTCCCTTTTCATGGTAGCGGGAGAGGCAAGAGTGCAGGGGGAAATGCATGGGCACTCTTTAAGGCCTCTGCTTCATGCTTGCTAGCATCTCATTGGCCAAAGCAGGTCACATGGGCTGAGCATCAGCAGTGGAAGCGTCTGTAAGTTACATAGCACAGGGTGACAGTATAGGAAGGGTGAAGAATCGGGGTGACTAGAGCAACCATTCTGTCACAGTGTGTATAACGTTTGTTGTGTTTTTGACTCAAAACTGCCTCTGCCCTCATGGGAACAGACTGTCATCTCTACAGAGTTGGGGGGCTCTGGTGGCCCATCGGTGTCGAGGCCTCAGAGGCGTGGGGCCTTCCATTTCTATGCTGGGTTAGCTGCTGATTTTCAGGGGTCTTGGGGGAAGCTGGTTGCAGGTTGGGGTCTGAAGTTTCTGCTTTTTGCGCACCCCTCCCCTTGTTGGTAGCTGTGTGCCTGGTCCTCCCCCCCCCTCCTGTATTATTACCTCTTCCAGCTTTGAGCTTCAGGGTGCTGCCGACATCCCCTCACAGAGGTGGTCCTCATAGCAGTGCAGGACACTCTTCCTTCCACTCTCCATCTGCTGGTTCCCTCTCCTCTGCAGCTGTCTCAAATGTCACCTCTTCTCCCGGCACTCCCTGGACCCTCCCTGACCACACCCTGACCACACCGTCTAGGTGGGTTGAGCCCCTTTGTTCTTCTTTTTTTTCTTATAAATTTTTTAAAAAAATTTTGTTGTTGTTGTTGAGAATATACACAGCAAAATTACACCAATTCAGCAGTTTCTACATGTACAACTCAGGGACATTGATTACATTCTTCAAGTCGTGCAACTATCCTCACCCTCCTTTTCTGGGTTGTTCCTCCCCCATTAACATAAACTGACTGCCCCCAGAGGTTCCTATCTAATCTTTTGAGTTGCTGTTGTCAGTTTGATCCCATATAGATGGTTCTTGAAAGAGTATAATCTCAAGGCAGACATTTTTTACTAGTTAAGCTTTTGTTTGGTTTTAAGAAGACTTTAGGGGTCATATATATATAAATTAAAAAAAAT